TAAACAACAATAAAGTTTAAGGAGACCAAAGGATCTCCTTTAGACACTAAATAAAAGTTGGGCCTCTGGGGTTCGAAGTTCGTATAGGTGGTAAATATCATACATAAACCTATACACAGCTATAGCCGAATGGCATTGTCAAACTTGTCATAAAGATCCAGCACTGCCCACTGCCCACTGCCCACTGCCCAACTCCTCTTCTGGTATCAACTGACACAAGACAAATATTTGTATTGCTAACAAGACCCGAAGCGCAACGTCTTTATGGCCAGAGTTTTCATACCAAATAAACAGCTTGAAAGAGTCGCAAATTATTTCACCTTCAAGAGAAATTCTCGGATAACTGAATGCCCCCTCCGAAAGCGAAAGAAAAATAAAACCCTTCGCCGTTCATTCTGCATTTATTGAGAGAATTCAACGACAGAGACAGACAGAGAGACAGAAACGGACAGGGAGACACGGACAGACGGACAGAGATACCAACAGACAGAGGGGCAGACACTTCTGTTTGCTTTTGGCCACCCGGTTTCTGGGTCCTTGGTCACCGGCTCCTGGGCTCCTCTCGTTACTGGTGGCTGGTCAAAGAGGTGGCCATTAAATATTTTATTATTACATTTTCTAATAGTTGGTAAAAAAAAAAGGAAAAATGTATAAAAGAAAAGTAAACCATAAAATGTCGCGATACGAGTTTGGGGTAGTAAAATTTAATTTATCAAACTTCTGCTACGATGCACATGGAAGCAGACATAGTGGGAGAGAGGGGGAAGCACATGGGGACAAAGCGCGAAGGACAGACCGAGCGACCGACACTGCACGGAAACCGGAAGGAGGGAGCAAATTTTGTGCCTGCACTTCCGCTTAGAGTCGCATTTGTGGATCCTGATGGGGGCAGCAGCCAACCATTGTTGAGGGTGGTAGGGAGTGAGTGGTTTCGGTGGAGGCTCCGCGGGTGTTGTGTTGTGTGTGTGTTTGTTTGCCTTTTATTTATAATGCGACAGACCAACCAACCAGACAAACTATTATACGAGTACTCTCATGTACAAGTTTATTAGCCCCACCGTAATTTATGGCCTGCGCATCATCATGATACTCGCATGTATTTTACAGAATTACAATTTTAGAGTTTTACGAGTGCGAGGGTACACACACATCACACGCTTAAGCTCCGCTGCGACTCTCTGTTCTGAGTGGAGTTTTATTTTTATAGAGGGGAAAGTCTCACACAATGCGTTGCGGATTTAGCCAGATGGAAGAGGCCATTTGAGGGAGCCGACTATTCAGGCTGGGGAAAATTGATAAGAAATGACAGAACTGCTAGAACATTTAAAGGTTTTAATTAAGATAAATCCCTTACAGATTGAATGCATCACCGAACGTAGCTATCTCTTGGATTTGTATTTCCTCATTTACCAAAGGCATTCCCTGCATTTCCTTTGTTCCAAAGGAAAACCTTAAAGAGCTTTTGATTGGTTTGGTTTCTTGCCAAACGCAGAGCTATTCAACCACTAAGCCATTGCCACTGCCACTAATTAAAGCCAGGCCAAAAGGTATAAAAAACACACAAAGTCGCAACAGCCGCACGCTCGGCTCTTCATCATGGAACCAACCACTCTCCCTCCTCTGGTGATTCCCCTGCTCGCGCCCAGCTCTTTGGCAAGTCTGAAACTAATGCACGCCAATTTTCAATACAGAAAATCGAACTTTGAAGTGGACGCCTGCCTCGTCTCGCGTTGCCAGTGGCAGTGGCAGGGGGAGGGATCTGGGGGATCTGGGGAATCTGCAGCCGGCACATGGCGTGCATTTCTACGAGTATTTTGCTTGGCCGAAAACTCTTGAAACTATTATCGAGGAGGTGGTGGGTATGGAGAGGGTGGGGTGTTCTCTGAGTGGACGAGGGCGTCACTGACACCGTCGACATCGAGAACAGAACGGCCAGAGGAAAAGCAAGGGATGAGGGCGGAGGGGGCAGCCCATTCAGCTCTCCTACGATGGCAGCGAACGCGTTTTGTGCGTGTTGAAGCACGCAAGAAATACAAAAATATGAAAATATCGTTGCATACTTAACGGCTCCATGGCTGAGCACAGGGAAACGGGGAGGCCTGTGCCTGTCCAGCACTTTACCACTTTTCATGCTCTGCGATAAATTAAAATTTTTATTAACATACTTTCCCTCCAGTGAAAGAGAGAGAGTGAGTGGGGTGGGAGCGGGGCAGTCAGGAATTGGGAGCAAGAAACAGGTCCAGAAAACGTCAACTTGTCCACCACTCAACGACAAAGGAGAGTGGGAGTGACCAAGGGGGTCCAGCTGCAAGTGGTGCTCTCTTTTATGAGTTTCGCAAACGCACGCTAAAAATGAGCCACCCACTGGCCAGCAGCCGTACCTCCATTCTGGCGGTGCTCTCTCCTCCACGTTGGATCCACCACAATTATAATTTGTTGATGCAGGGAGCCCAAGGAAATTCCTTTTTTTATCTCTTCAGTGGGGGAGGGAGAGCCGGAGCGGGCTTGGAAAATGTTGGGGCTGCATTATCTATGCATTATTGTTGCCTGCCTGGCCATTGGCCATCTGCCGAGTGCCGTCTCAGCACAAAATAATATTCTATTAAATTATGTATACGTTTTTGTTCAACTTCTTTTGGAAGAGATTCTGCAGCTGTAGAGTCGTTACCCAGAGATGGATGCAAATTGCAGTTGCCAGAGGATGTCCATACAATATTCAAACAGGGATGAGATGGGATTACTTTATCCGTAGAAAACTGTGTGGCTGCATGGCAAGAGCTTTAAGGCTTAAGCGATTCATATACATAATTAGTTGAAATTAAAGTGGAATGAACCATGAAATGCGTAGCCCCAATGAGAATTCTGTATGGTTTATTTCGGTGTCCGAATCCCCGAGCGAATCCACATCTAAAATCCCATCAATTATTGTTTGTTGTGCAACCAAAATAAAAAAAGAAAAGCGAATACAAATAAAGAAAAAAAATAGCCAGCCTGCGCATTTAATTAAATATGAAATGAACAATTTATAATTCCGTAGTCCGTGCTTAAACATGGACAATGGACGGACGCCAGTGCGGAATGCATTGGGCCTCGAACCTAAAGGAATATCCTTCGAACGGCACGTAGGCAAACACGTAACCCCCACCTACATTCATAACCCTTCTCCTGCCTGTATGCCCTGTGCGTTGGTATGCAAATATATTGCCCTATAATTGAAGCGCGACAAATGCGAATTGTGAGCGATGTGATTCGGATGTGATTCAGGGAGGCAATGGAGTATGGGATATGTGGAATGTGGAATGCAAATAGCGAAAATATGTACATATGCACCACGTATGTACATATGTAGTTAATGCACATTGGAGTTCGATCATTCAATTTAGAAGACAAACAAAAAAGGGATTTGTTAAATGCATGCGAATAATTACAGAGAAAAGGGAAAGGCAAATGGAAACGCATTTAACAAAATGGATTTTTAAATGGATGAAAAAACAGGAAGCAGAGGCTAACCTCAGGTTTCAAAGGTTGGGATACCCTTTAAAGAGAATGTGTTAATTGTCAGAGATGGAATCGCTGAATCTACTTTCCCTGCGCTGCTGAAAATCATCATGCCCGCTATCCGGGTGCAAATGAATGTAAAACAAAATGAATGGCGTGATCATAATTGGCGCTGGACGTGAGTAAAAAGTGAAGGGAATAAAAAAAGAAATATAGGATAATAATTATAGCAGTAAATTGCAGTGGCAGACAGAGGCAACGGGAATCGAACAATTGTCGCACATTAACCGCAGATGCTCTCATTCTGGGACTGGATTGAGATGGGGATTGAGATGTGAAAAGGGGGGTCATGGAAATTGATGGCCACGGATAATGGGGTGACATTCGGGGTCGTGTCAGGACTGGAATGATTATAGTATGTGTGTGGGTGTGGGTGTGGGTGTGTGTGGATGAGTTCGTCGAGCCTCTGCTCTCTGTATGACAATTTCAGTTCACTTGCCCCGAACACTGAACATTGAACATTGAACATTGAGCATGGGACAAGACAAAGGCAGCCGCAGGCAGAATATTTCCTGCCTTATTCCTGTAGTCATCCTGTCCACCCAACTACATTATCGTTTTCAATTTGTGAAATTTATAGCCAACAAAGGCAGGAAATGAGAATGAAAATTGAAAATGGCATTAAATGCGGTTTTACATGCCGAACGGAGATATTGTTAAACAGAATTATGCCATGAGGATGTGAATGTGAATGGGAATGCGGATGCTGTGATGGACAATCGAAGAGTGGACAGCGGTGGCAGCAAAGAATTAAATTTCCAACACTGAAAACCACTCAAGTGGAGCTGCAAAAAGGCCCCACAAACTGTCATTTTATAGTGGAAATTGAAATGTTTATGATGGACGTAGTTGTTGATGGCGATAAATACGCAAATGAGGATCTGAATGCGGATTTAATGTGTATGGGAAAACATGAATGAGAGACTCTTAAAAATCAGAAGGCTAGCCATCACACCTCATATGACATATATGTACACTGATGTGCTATGAGGTATCTATAGCGTCGTCATATGGCGCCCCTCTTTCTCCCACGAAAGCTCCCACAGTATCTTATCGTAGCTACTCGTAACTTCTAGCGGCTGCTATCTTATCTTTGGGAAGCCAATTTATATATGAATCAAGATTATCCAAAACAGAGATAGTATGTAGAGGTGTGTTGTGTCTTCTGTTTGTTTGTTTTTAGTCAGTCGGGGCTGGGTCTAGACACTGAACTCATTCTCGTATTTTCATGAAACGGAATCATTGTATTTTTATAAGAAATTTAATTGACTAATATTCTGCACTTGACACACTTAGGTTTGTTAAAGTATTTGTAATGAAACCAACAGAGGGGTGCTCTTTTCTTAAATTTCTACACCATAGATACACCCCAGCTCCACCTGTGCTCACTTCTAATTTTATTTAGGGCATTCTTTTGTCTTTGATATCTACTAAACACTCACCAGACGCAAAAGTTGATGAATTCGGTCGCTTCGCTGGGCGCAAAATGGACGACGACGGACGACTTCAGTGGCCAAACTTCAATGGATGACCAACGGATTCGTGTGTGGTGTATTGGTGTATTTTGTTGTTTGAATTGGCGAGCGCGCCAAAAAGTATGCAGTGCACAAACTGAGAACTCGAATGTCTTGCGGGTCTGCGATTCGGCGGTCGACTGGTTATGGCCCTCCAATGTCGCTGCCTGCTGCTTTCTGCTGTCTGCCGTCTACTGTCTGATGTCTGCTGCCTCTGCCTTCTGCTGACGGTGATGGCTGATGGCTGGTAATGTGATTAGTTGGCTCGCTCGTCTATCGATGGTTCTCGGCAGGTTCTCTGTGTGTGAGGGCGAGTGTGTTGCGGGTAAATTTTAATTTAATTATGTCGCCGCTGCCTCTCGGCGTTCGCGTTTCAATTACGAAAAGCGGCTCGCAGCGGAAGCGAGAGGCAGCCACTACTGAAGACACACGCACCACTAAACAAAGAAGTCAAATAGCCGACGGTTGATGGTTGATGGTGCTCCCAGCGACGACTAGGTTCGCGTACGAATGCGTCGAATGAATGCGAATGTGGAATGCGAGCGATGTGCTTGTCCCTCCTAGAAACTGGCTCCAAGACTCCTGCTGGTCCCGCTGGATGGCTGGCCGGCTGGATGAAGAATGCAACTGCTGCCGCTGCCTGCGACAAGCGACTGCCTTGTGTTGCATACTCCAGCTGCCACAAAGCGGAACAAAACGGAATGGCACGGACTGAGTGTCTCGTGTTGCATACACCAAGGCGCACGAACGAAACGAAATGGAACCCCTCCGAACGGAGTGACTTTCCGAGCGCACAACGAATGAGTGCAGCCTGCAGTTTGAGTGGAGTCCCGTGGCACGTACTCCCTGCGCTACCTGCGAACACCTGGCCAGAGTGTGACAGTTGCTGTTCCTTCTTTATCGCCATCGGAGTGGACAGCCGAAATTTTAATTGAGTTTGTCCAACTTGCGGCAAACAATTCAATCGGTACGTCCTCCAATGGGTCTCATTAAATCGGAGGGTAGTAGGGCAGTTCCCCCTGCCTTCGCTTCCCGCTTAGACAGGTGTAGCTAAGGGGTTTGGGAATTATATTGAAAAGACATAAAGTACTAATGATTGCTACAGACACACCACATCCATCCCCAACCCCTTTCCACACTTGTCCAACTTTCGGGGTAGTTCCCACCCATACATGCACGAGGAATGTGAAACATTTCAACTCGCTGCTTGCTTGCTTGTCCCTGTCACTCCCCCATGTCCTCTTAAGAGCCACGAGCTGTTCCAACTCCCGGCCTCACTTGTGGTTAACCATCTGGCAGAAACGGCGGCCACTGTGGGTGGCCTCTCTGCCTGTTATCTTTGCTTAGTTGTGGAGCATATAAATACATTTTATGAACAAGAACATGAACATGAGAGAGAGGTGTTTTCCAAAGATGTTGTTCCCATGGCAGGGACTCGTATACAGATTAGACTTCTGCAGCTGCTTGTGCAGGGCATCTGCAGTGCTACTATTTCTTAACTTTCGTTTCTTGACTCTCGGCACTTTGGTGCAATGATAACGAACGATTCGCAAAGATGTCGCTGTCTACTCCACCTGACGGACGACACAGTGACACCGCTTAAGGGAGGACTAAGTACACGTTAGAGTTGGAAACGCCCCCTCCTTCCATCCGCCATCCGTCATCCACCATCCGATGCGGATTCCCCTGACATTGTCTGGCACACGCTGCTCTCCCGTATGTAGGTTGGATCCATTTGCATTCAGCATAAACAGCAGCCAGGACAATAAAGGCTTCGCACGCACTGCAATATGCAACAGTCGCAGCAGACACGCAGGCGGCTGCGATGGGACGCACATTTATAAGTAGGGCTGTAATCTATTCGTAAAAGTCGCTTCCGCTTTGCATTTTATATGCTTGACAAATCGAGTTTCAGTGCTGTTGCCAGGTCCTGTTCACTGTCCCTGCTGCTGATGGCTGAATGGATGCTATATTCTACTTGCAGCAGCATTGATTGAGAATGCCGTTTGACACCATCGCTGCCGCTGCCGCTTCCACATCCATTCCATTTCGGTTGCTTTAAGCCCAGCAAGCGAAACGAACGAGCCAATTAAAACTTTTTCCCGGGGAAACTTAATTAGGAAAATTCTCGAAATTATGCAATTGTCATAAGTACTCGGGGAGCGGTTAGAGAACTGGTAAGCGAAAGAATGGAAAAATATCAACTGCAGTGCGCCTGCGGTGCGTATTATTTTCACATGCCTCGCACAGGATTGCTGCTGCTGCTGCTGTCCACGTTCCATGCAGAAGCCGAAGCCGAAGCCCCCCAAATGCTGGACGAGCATGACAAAAATGCTTTTGATTTGTGTCCCATTCACACAGACGCACTTGTGGAGGTGGGGCGTGGTGGTGTATGGGGCTCCGAGGCTTATTAGAATTGTGTGTGAGTGGTGTGGGGGCGTCCGTCCTGGAGGCAAAGTGCAAGTGACAAGATAGATAGGCAAACATAACGAACGGCAACAGAAAGCAATTTATGCGTGTGCTGAGGTGGCGCCGGGTGGAGGACTGATGGCGGCAGCCTAATAGGATTGTGGCTGTAATCTTTGAAGCTCGCTTCGCATTTCCATCTGGAAAAATGAACAAAAATTTGACTGCACCGATGCCAATATTTCAGCCTAAAAGGGACAAGTGTGCATAAATGAGTACGATGGTGCATGCTAAATGCTTCTGTATGAGATTGACTTTCTTCATTCACTCTTTTTCATTTTAAAATCGCAGCAGTGGAGTAGCCGAATCGTTGAAAAAATTATCCGCCAGCGCTGCCACACCTTATACATATCTAATGCATGCAAACGGGCTTATACTCCGAATTTTTCATTTTGCAGTGTCTGGTTACCAGGGTGACCAATTAAGGAATATTTTGACTACGAAATTGAGTAGTTCATTGTATATTTAAGGTATATCGGTATATAATGGAATATGAATTTCATCCTTCTATTATATTCCATTTATACGGTATATTCAAAATTATAGGGTATCCAAATGTTTTTCAAATGTCCCTCAAGGAGTTTCTCTCTTTTCCTTAGGGAATTGTATCTCTCTTTTAAAGCCGGGTATCCAGCACCGCGGAAAATAAAATTTCCTGTCAAACTTGAAGCCGAGTAGACAGCACCGCGGAAAATAAAAATTCCTTCATATAAAAAAACTGCTCCAGGCATTGTCTTTTGCGTTTTCGTTTTTTGTATCCAGCACACAACACGAAAACCACAGATTCTTATCGATATATCGATAAATAAGCTAACAATTATGCCTGCAGTGAAGAGTGAAACATGGAAGAAACAACTATGCGCAATCACGTAAAAGAGAGTCGAAATAGATCGACGGAGTCAAAAAAAAAATACTTCTCCCATGACTCTTTGAAAAATTAAATCATTTTACTAATATTAATAAAATTATTATTTATTATTTGTGCACTTTTGGCAATAATGGATTCCAAATGCATTCTTAATTCAACTACCAGCTCTTTTTATACTTTTTTATTTTCAGTTTAAATTTCAAACTGCCCTGCAGTAGACATGCATAATTTGTATGGGCCAGCATAATGCTGGTACTGTGAGAAACATTAGCAGCACTGTTCCCCAACATTTGGCACGGAATAAGCAACATTTAGTACCCCTAGTGGGATGGATATCCTGAAATTGAGGTAAGGTTGAAAATCTGATGTTCCAATCAATGCAATAACAAGTCAATCTGTGTTGGACATTTATCTTAACGAAATTTTGCAAATTATCGATATCGAGAACGTATCTAGATCAATATATAAATATTTATATACATAGAAAACATATTAAGAGGTTAAAAACAAGTCAGTCGAGAGCAGCTTTGAAAATTCTATTTTATTATTCATTGATGGAAACAAGGTATACAAATGCAAATACTATACTATACCTACCGGTTGACATGCAACATATTGTCAAACACGTAGCAATCCCTTCCCACTAACGTAACGTTTTATGCTAATTTTGTTGGTTGACCTTGTTGGTTTTCAACTTAATGTTGTGGAGCATTGATTGTTAAATCAAACAAGTTTATAGTTTTAGCGCGTAGACTCTGAACTAGATAGTAATTTCAAATAGAACTTCAGTATTTACAGTATATTTCGAAAATTCATGGGTATATTTTGGTATTTTTCCAAGGGTCTGTTAGTATATATACCATATATATATATACCAAATAGTATATATACCAAATAGTATATGTACTACATGGTTAGTGACGCAGGAGGGATATCCCTGAACATCATTTGAAAAATTCAAATACAAATTTGTAAATATAGGGTCATAAGGTATACCTCCAACTAAAAGGAGTATTTATAATAAGCCAAATGGATGCTTTAATCGGATTAAATACATTTATCAGTTTAAAAATTCGTTGCCATCTAGTAATATCTCATTCTATTTCTGGTGTTCGTTCGGCAAACAACTCTTTTTTGAGTTCAACATTTTCAGTGACTTTGTTCTAATATTCAACATAAACTGTATTCAGTACCTGGTCAATGCGGACTCATCGTCTGCGACCAACCAATTTCGCTTTAGCGATTACGGTGTGTTTTGAAAATAAAAGGTATTTCGGTATATTTCCGAGGGTCTTTCGGTATATTTTATTGATAATTCTGCGGTCACACTATCACATGACGCTAAAATAGGCGGAAAAACTCGAAAAACTGGGAAAAAGACGCCTGGTGAAAAATCATTCAGAAAACTAATAGATTCAAATATATTTGTGTTAGAATATTGAAAGCCACAAAGATGCCGCGTACCAAGATACCAAAGAACTCGAAGCGCAACCGCGAAGTGGCCAATCGCGAGGAGAAGGTGCGCCTTTTCGAATTAAAGATGGACTCTCGCCTGATGAGCATCGACTCATTGGAGACCAAGTACATAGGCGATGTGGACAACAAGGTGAGGTCGCTGCAGTCGATTATTCAGACGGAGCTGCGCGACATGAAGATGTCCGACATCCTGCACTTGTTCGGGGAGCTGAGCCGCTTGGGCGACTTCAAGGCCAGCGATCAGACGCAGATGATTGCGTCCATGTCGGCGAGCTGCAACACGACGGGCGGAAACGGATTGGCTCCGCCCAGCTCCGGCAGCCGCAACGACGAAGGTCAGTTCTTAAAGACAATAATCCCCATTTACAATCGCAATTTATTCTATCTGGTGCGCGGCTCTCTAACTTTACTTTGCTTTCTAACCTTGCATCACACATTCATTTCATTGCACACACGCACAACCACATATCCTGTGCCGGTCACTGTATCTAGGCTACCTTACAGAGGACAGCAGCCTAGGAGCTAGTGGCAGCAGCATTCTGGCCGTCTCGACAGCTTCCATGCTGCGCTCCGCCAAGGCCATGCGTACGCCTGGCCCCCTACACTCGGCCAGGGCCCGTCGCGCCCGCCGCAGTCGCTCGGCTTGCGGGGAGTTGAGTATCATCCACTCGGCCAAGGCTGCCGCTGTCCCGAGCAGCAGCACCAATGATAACCGTGTGTCTCGCAGCAAGATGCGCACTCCGATGGCCTCGCGGTCCAAGGCATTCAGTGCCGATCGCACTCCCCTCATGCTGCAGAAGAGTCGCACCTCGTCCCCCGCGACACCGCCAATGGCCTTCCTGCGCTACCCCAAGCCGGGCGAGGTGGCTCTCTCCAAATTCGGCAGTCCCATGGTGGCACAAGTGTGAGTATTGACATTTAAAAAGTTCGAAACAAAATCGCAATTGACGACATTTTGATCTTTTCCACAGAATGCCTGAAAAGTTTGCCAATGTGAACATACCCATTCGGAATGGCATCCTGAGTTTGCGGCCCAAGAAACTAGACGCTGGTGAAGTCGAGTCGAACCTGCTGGAGAACATAGACGAGCACACCCTGAATCAGATCAGAACGCTGCATGCCAACTTGCAGTTGATTGTGAACAAGGCCAGTCAGGCGGGCTTCAAGTAGTGGCCCTATCCCAAATCATATCTAGGTGTAATCAAAATCAAATATCATATATTTTAATATGTTTCGTTTAAGTTCAGTTCGCAAATTATGTGCTACTTATTAGTTATTGCTTATTTTACCCCGTTTCCCATCCACCTTACTCTGTATTCCATATTGAGATCAATACAAGTTCAAATTTATGTTCATCGAAGTAGCCCGGGATTTGTGGCATTCGTTAGAATAATTGTAGCAGGTAAACTTATTTCATAAGTCAATCGAACGTAGAGTAAGATGCCTCGCACCCGAGTTGTGGCAGGCCGTGAGGTGCAGCGCAAGAAAATTGAACAAGAGGAGAAGTTGCGCCTGGCTCAAATGAGGGCCGAAGCCGCTCTGGAGAAGGCAGATGAGTTTGAGAAGAGAGCCAAACATCAAGTGGACATGCAAATGAAGCTAATCCACGCCCGGACTGACAAGCGCTTGCTGGAGATGAAATGGTCTGAGTTTGTAAATCTGAATCCTAAACATTTCAAGGACTACAAGTGGAAGGGTGAATGCAAATACTTGATGGTAAATCCTTAGCCTTACACTTATGCTCTGCAGTTCCCGAGCCACCAGTCAGTCGAGTACGCAGCACCTCTATCAGCAGCGATCGCGGACGTTGCCGCACTCCTCAGCTCTCGCAGCTGCCGCGACCAATCGTACATTCCTTGGACAGAGGACATTTGAAGACTTTAGCAACCCCCCAGAAAGCTCCACCCATGTCGTTCGAACGTTGGCCGCGGGCCGGTGAGTTAGTGCTCTCCTGCGGCGGCAGCCCTCTGGCTGTCCAGACTCCACAGCAGAACTGTGCCGACGTGCACATACCCACCAAGAAGGGCGTGATCACAGTGAAGCCCTTCAAAATCGAACGTGTGACGCGGGATGTGCTAATGCAACTGGACGCGAATACACTGAACCAAGTGAAGACATTGAAGGCCAATCTGGGGGTCATTGTGGACATGGCCAACAAAATGGGCAAGATGTAGGATTTAGGACGTAGGATGCATGGATATCGGAATTAAAAATGACAGGTACAGCTACATTGTACGCTTATTTCGTTAATATTTTATTTAGTCTTTTTCATTTTCTCAATTTCAATGGTTTTTGTTCAGTTGTTAAACATTAAGTGAACGTGTGTCTCTGTTGTTCTTGTTGCCGTTTGTTTGTTGCTGTTTTCTTGCTTGGGTTGTATAATTAATTAATAAATTTAATTATTTTAATATACAATATATATATATATATATATATTTTTTTTTTTATATATATATATACATATACGATTTTTAAGTACAAACAGCTTACAGAAGTTTCGTTTCGTCTCGACTAATTTTTATATGTAATTGTTTAAACATTTTGCTATCGTGTTGCATGTGTGTATCCGTGTGTGTCCGCGAGTGTGAATATTCCTTCGTACTTGTGTATGTACTTTCTTGAATTAAATCAATTTATTTTTATTATTTTAATTGTAAGTTCAATTGAAACTTCCCTTGGGGTTTCCTTGTCTCTTCCTTTTCCATGAATTGTGTGGATTCAAAAGATGTCTGTTCTTATACGAAAATTACGTTTACACATGTACAATGTTAAATTTAAAATTAATTATTTAATTAGTGTGTGTTTGGTGTGGTATTTAGCAAATACTCGTTATTTTCTTACTCCTTTTCCTTTGCTTCCCACTCGTACATACATAAGTGGAAAATTCATATAATATCCAAGTTGTCGTGAGTTAAAGGGGCGTATCATATACATACACACTTACTTAGTTATAAATTACATAGAAATACAATACATAGCAAAAAGGTACATATATAGAGACTTAAAATATATTTTGTTTTGTTTTCATTACCATTACTGAATTATACCATACAATTTGTAGAGGCAAAGATAAACATATAAACAGTGATAGGGACAGTGAAAGAACAGGTGACGGTTGACAACAACATAACACTTAGTTTTCCTTATTTTGTAACATTTATTATGGGTTCTCGTATGCGGAGTAAATTTTCTGTATGGATGGGCTTTCATTTTAAAAATGTTTCAAGATTATAATCCATTCAAGGTAGGGCGATCTACAGTCGCGCCAATCTATTAAACGCGTTGAACTAAGTGTACAAATATTTTAAAATAATCCATTTTCATCTCGTTTTCTTTACAGTCTACGCTCTGGATTTTGGATCTTAACATCGGACACCCCTATAAAGAGTAAATAATACCCAACAAAGATGTATGTGTAGAGAATGAGCGGATAATACATGTTCCTAAGTATTACATAATCTCCAATAGTTAAAGAATAGAGAATTCATATGTGACAATTTGAACTGAAGTTTTATTGGATCTTCTCACGCATCTTCGCCATGCTTAATCAAACCCTTAGCCGCCTTCTAACCTAATCAATAATCAGTTTCGATCCTACAGGCGTTCCCGGAACGCATCTAACTACTCTACGCCAGCCTCCATCAACCTTACTAGAAACATGTTTTTTTCACTTTTCTCGGGTTCATCGTATGCCTATTTCGTCGTACGCGTTTCGGTCTTTCAACTCTTGTTTCCTTTTTTTGTTTTAACACAGCCAATCAACAATGCCTTCCGCTCCTCCTTTTCAATCTCCCAATCTTTTTCAATCCATTTTTTCCTGTACAGAAAAACGAATAAATTATAAAAACACCCAATGAATTTCTGTGATCCTACTTGTGGGATTCTGTAACTTTTTTGTAATGTTTTCTAGGTTGTATTGCTCTCGGTTCTGTTATATTACGTTATGGTCATGCTGCGTTCGTACAAATTTCTAACCTTTTCTTACAAAATTGTGCTATTTTTGCTATTTCGTTTACAACTATTTTGTAGGCTGTTGCTTTAGAATTTGTTATAACTTGTTAAATGCTAGTTAATATATTTCTTTTGTATTTCGTTATTCTTATGTTTGGGCACTACTCATTGCGGTTCAGGGCATCTTTGTATTTCGTAAATAGTATATTATTTGTAATATTAAGTTTTTAACAAATGTTTGTAGGCATTATGCACGGGTACAGGGCGTTGCATTATTTGTTTTGTATCTCTTCTTTCGGTTATAATTCTCTTTCATCAGTGTGTGCTTTTGGTACAAATTTTATGGTACTAGGTTGCATAGAAATTAAATAAATTCATAAGTAAGTATGACTGTACAATAAAAATTAAAAAGTATGCACACTACTTGTCTGTTGTGGAAAAATCAAAGGTACCGAGGTGCAAAGTTTAGAACATTTTGCTTTGGTCGCAAACGATCAGGGAAACCCAGAAGTCGGTAAAAAGGCAACATCCTTATTGTACATGATGCCAAACTAGTCATGAGCCTTCAAGGATACTCTCCCGCTCACGAGTAAGTTCGGCAAGTCTGATCGACTGAGAAATAACATTGAACTGCATTAAAAGCTGGTCAGACATGTTAAAAAACCATGGCATACTGACCATGGCTGGTCTGTTCGTATTTCTCTTCTACAAAACTGCAAAAACAAATCAAAATCCAAATCCTTCGAATGTCACTTTTTTCGGATGCCAATGGAACCCTTCAGGTTACGAAAAGACATCCCAGATGCATTAACAGGTTTGTTAGGATCCAGTGGCTACACTTTTTCACCCGATTGAAATTGCTGAAAACTGATCGAAATTGCTGAAAACTTATCGAAGGTGCTGGAAATTGATGGAAATTGCTGAAAACTTATCGCAATTGCTGAAAGTTAATCGAGATTGCTGAAAATTGTATCGATATTAATGATCAAAACGGTTAAAAAGAGATCTAGTTGGATCGAAATGCTAAAAAAATGATTAGAACTGCTCATAAATAATCGAAAGTGTTAAAAATTGATCAAAAATGATTTCAACAGATCAAAAAATGAAAACTGGTCGAAATTTATCAACAAATTTGTTGTTGCATATATACATTTAACAATAGCACTGTGTGGTACAACAGTCTTTATTGCTTTAAATATGGGTCTATATAACATTTTTTGCACTTTGCAGTAATGTAAAGGAGGTAAAGAGTCTCCTATCTGAGAGAAGTGTCTTTACTCTCACAGTTTTGGCGGTTCTCAATAATTTAGGCAGTTTTTGGAAAAAGAAGCGAAATAGAACTGAAACAAAAACAGCACACAAATTTTTAATTTATAAAATAAAATTATGTTTTTAATTGATATAATAATCGTTGGTTTAAGGCGTTTGTAAACAGACGGTTACAAAATATTAGTTGTTATGTATGGGTCGTCTATTTAGGGAAGAAGAAATCCAAAGGATCAATACTTTGCCAACAAGAAACTCGTCAAAGATCTGTCGATATATCCCCATTTCGGTTTTTAGCAAATTTTGATCAATTTCGATCGATGTTGATTTATTTTTAACAGATTTCATACATTTCGATCCAGTTATAACCATTTTTTTTATTAATATTGATCAATTTTGATATATTTTGTATGATTTGGATCAGTTATTAATAATTCTTATCAATATTTTGATACATTCTAAACATTGTTGATCTATTTTGAAAAATTTAACCAACTCCGAGAAATGCTCAACAATTTTTATAAATTTCGAACCGTTTTGATCAACTTTAAATGCTCAGCATTTTAATATATTTTCAGCAGTTCCAATAAATATGCCAAGACTACTACCAAGAATATCACTTTGTGATATTCACTTCAGTGAACTTTAAATGAAAATTGATAGTCTCGATCCTAACGCTCTTGGTCCTTCTAGAAAAATATACTGGTTTTTCCTTTACGCTCTCTCACCATTACGTATACAGGATAACTTCCTTAGTCCAGCCTGAAACCCCCAAATATATGTCAAAGGATAACTAAGAAGCTGCGAAAAGCGGATACAAATACTAGACTTTTGCTCAAAAACTTAGAAAAAATTCGCGTCGAATGTTGCCTATGTACTATTTGAAGTAACTTAATAGCTCACAACTGCTTTGTAGATTAATGAATTTTATAGAACTTACTTGCACTTACATACATATGTAAGTAGGTATTCGTATCTTAAAAAAAAAAATTTCGCTTTTAATTTGCTTAAATATTTCTTGTCATGGAGTTAGATAGCGCTTAGATGGTCTATTTCTGGTTATTTCTGTTCCAAATTTCATTGCGAAGTTTATACCGTTTTGTAAATATTCTGTATTGATTTTTTTTTGCAAATATATACGAAATATTTCATTATACTTTGCTAGGCTTATAAATTAATTAATTTCATTAAATGCTTAAATTCATTAATGCACTTTATATGTACTTTTCGTGTTGCTGTGTGAAATTTTCTATACTCTTATCCCATATAAATATATATTTATGTATATGCTGGTATATGTGAATAACTTGCTTTAAAACTATACATATTTAGGTGTATATATATATAATATATAATGCTAAATGCAGTATACTTGTGTATATTTTGTTGTTTTACTTTTAGTTTTTTCTATCCTGGTTTGAGGTTTTGTCAGTATCAAAAACTAAGGGAGAGCTGAAGGGAAGGCCAAAAATTTGCCCTAAATTGATTACCATTTTTGCATTTCGATTTTTAATTTAATTTCATTAAATGTAGCCTCTTAAATGTAGTCGAACCGAACCCAATCCTATGTTGTTAAGTTATCTATTTACGCGTGAAGATTGAAATTTAGCTAGCAGCGTCTAAAAACTAAACCCTTAACTAGTGAATATTTTAATCTGAACTGGTTGCAATCTATGTACAATTTATGTTAGTTATGTATATACTCTTGATTTACGGATTTACTCGGTTATGCTCAATACTCTTATACACTTTTATTATTATACGTTTTTTGAACTTAACGAGAGGTATTTCTATTTTCCCAAGTGTTAATATCGCCTTTTGTCCCTATACATATATCGTATCGTATCGACTCGTATGTGTTTTTTTCGTGTTGTTTGTCGTTGTTTTGGTGCACTTCTTTTCAGTATTATAATTTGCCAAAACAAGCTAGAAACAGAGGGAAAGAAATGAATTTAAACCGAGAAAATACAAACCTGTTGTAAATATATGATTACTTATCCAGATGTGAATATTTATTTAGGGCTTTGCAGTTTAAACAGTAATTTAATAAAAATACAAACTAAATTTATATCAATAATATTTGTATAGCATTTGTTTCGTTTCTTCTTCATTTAAATAATATTTATAACGATTGAACCCAACTTAATAGACTTAAAAGATTTAAACAAAATCAAAATCAATAAAAAATTACAAATAGAAAACGTGAAGCTTTTCTGAAATTGTGTCTCATATCCATACAGTTGTATTACATATTACATATAGATATATATACATATACATATATGCATATGCATGTGTATGGTATAAAGTGTATGCAAGCTTACATGAAAATGGTTAAAATTATAAATAAGTTTAAACAAAACCTGTAAAATAGCCTTCACATGAAATTGCATCGCCGACTTGCTTTGCGCGCTTTGCTTTCTCGCTTTGATATAAAAATATTTAAATATAATTACAATTACAATTTTAAACGAGCATTAACTACGAATTAAAAGATAAGACGGCGCAACCTAGCAAAATGATACAAATATAGTGAAATATATACAGATAGAGGGACTTTGTTTTTATTTTCTTAGTCGCAGCGAAATCCATTATCGAGAGTAAATCAAAAGGAGCTCTTTTTGAAGATGTTTAAGAAAGTAAAACATAAAGCAAAGCATGGGCAGAGGCATGCAACAAATTATCAACATTTAGTAGATATATAAAAATTAACAAATTATCACACTGAAAAAATTCAACACTAATTTTAAATTATACAAATTCTATACGTACATATACGTATGCGTATGCGTGTGTGTGTTTTTGTGTGCCATATGTTTGTGGTGTATGGTTTAAGGTTACGGTATATATGTTCTCCAATCAAATTGTATACATTCTGTTATCGCTTGTCGTTAGAGTCTAGAGCCTAGCAAACGCCTCTCCACGCATGTTACACCATTTCATATAATATTTTTTAAATATACATATATCAATTTAACAACATCTCGGAACGCTCTCCACTCTCTCATTATTATTTATGCTGCTGCTTGGTTTTCTTTTTCTTTATCGCTCTTTTGTATATATTTATGTATATAATAGCTTTAGCTTAGAGTCTAAGCTGTATTATTAATCGTAATAAATATCTTGCATCATCTCTTTTTGTGTGTTCCTTTGCAGCTTTTCCGTTTCTGTTTTCGACATTTTGAAAATATTTAACTATAGCGTGTCTGGTATTTATGGTTTTTGCAATTTCTTTTAGACGAGGTTCCCATTTTGCATTTTGCTTTACAATTAATATTTGCTAGTA